GCCCCATGTAAATGGCACCATCCGGCCGGCTGCCCTGTTAGCGGCGCGCGCTCTGCATGGGTGGGGGGGAAGTCCGGACATTTACAAATTCCCCCCGGACGCTATTTTTAGCTCAAAAAGCCGGACATGTCCGGGGGAATCCGGACGAATGGTAACCCTATTGATACTGCCCTACGATACTTCAGAATGAGCATGGAATGCATTTTTCACAATTATAGGAGTTTGGATGAGAAACTAAACAGACGTTCTTTCTGTGCATCTCTGCAGACTTTCAAGATAAAAGTTAATAGATTCTGGCCAGTTGTGCAGGGGAGTAGGGAGGGAGAAGCACAACAAATTCCCCTCCTTCCCATACTCCCTTGTGCCCCTGCACAAGGATGGCTAGAATTAGTCTGGGAGAATCATAGAATATCAGGGTTGGAAGGGACCTCAGGAGATCATCTAGTCCAACCCCCTGCTCAAAGCAGGACCAATCCCCAGACAGATTTTTTTACCCCAGTTCCCTAAATGGCCCCCTCAAGGATTGAACTCACAACCCTGGGTTTAGCAGGCCAATGCTCAAACCACTGAGCTATCCCTCCTCCCTGCTCCCAATTAGCTCTCTACAACAGCACTAGCTGCTCAAAAGGGAGTGAGGAAAAGACTCCCCCACATACCCCCATCAGCATTGAGGAGTTGGCTGGCTGCAAGGGTGGCAGAGCTATTGCTCTGGTATGTATGCCTCGGAAACATCAAGAGGAATTCTAGCTACTTGATCCCACACCCCTAAAGCTCTCTTCTGCCTCCTGCAATGTAATTGCACTCAGGAGCAATTCTGTACCCAGCAAAGGGGGAAGGATAGCTTAGTGGTTTGAGCATTGGCCTGCTAAACCCAGAGTTGCGAGTTCAATCCTGGAGGGGGCCATTTAGGGAACTGGGGTAAAAACCTGTCTGGGGATTGGTCGGCTTTGAGCAGGGGGTTGGACTAGATGACCTCCTGAGGTCCCTTCCAACCCTGTGATTCTATGAAAGCTCAAAATAGCTAATTGACTAAACTAAAATTCAGAGTGAAAAATAAATCCAAAACTGCTAAGGAAGAAAACTTGCAGGAGTTGAAACTGAAACCTGATTACGAGTTATACTTGTTCTGTTAGAAATCAGGAGCACTTTTGTTATGTTTGTTCAGGGTTTTAATGACATGCCTGATTAGATTTTGCTTTGCTGATTCTCCCTCAACAAAATGCAAATGGACATTTATGACACCAAGGGACTATAGGACGTGAAGCTACTAATATACATTTCAGTGTCTGTGAAATTTATTATATTACGGATAGGTCAATAGTGACTCTACATTAAGACAGCATACACTTTTTAAAATATTGACTAACTTGATGAGGAAATTTTCAAAATGCTCTCTTTTTGAGTAATGACAGAGATAATTTTTTTAAATATTGCCACAATAGCTCTCTAATGCCATAGGCTTCCCCCTCATTCAGCTTCCCTAGCCACCATGACAAAGTGAAAATCATTTTTCTCCCTCCCAAGGCATTCACAAGGGGAGACAAGCAGGGGCATAGGCTCCCCAGTAATTGACTGGGGCACAGAGCTCCTCCGGCCCCGGGGCAGGAGCTGACAGCTCCTTCAGCCCCAGGACGGGGCCCAGAATGTGCCCCTCCAAAAACAGTGAAATTTAAATTCCTGCACATGCCCTTGCCTCCTTTTATTATTAGTAACATCAATTTTTATCCACGATGAGCTGGATTAAGATACAGTATCCATACCCATTCCTGTAGTGGTAACATCTACAAGAAAATGTGTACAGTACAAGAAAAATATGAGGTTGGAGTGAAGGTTGCGCACTTGAATAGGAGATAGTGAGGAATTGGGTGGATACATTGTAGTTGTCTATACTGGATGCTGGAATTGAAAAAGAGTTTGACATGGAGTTATGAGTGTGACAGTATTCGGTTTGTAAGGGATGTGGATTTGTGGCTGATCTGGAAGTTAAATGTTACCTTAAATGGTGTTTTCCTTGAATTTTAGTGTTTGTATTTCTTTTAAACACGTTTGAGCCACCTTAACTGTAAATTAGCTAAGATTATGTGCAGGATATGTATATAAACAGTGCAGCAGATTTAAGTCTCTGGGGGACATTCTCCTTCAATGTTATATTTGTGTATCTTGGTGCTTAGCTGCCTCTGTTTTGAAATATTGAAACAATGAGAACTGTGAGTTATAGGAAAGAGATCCAGAGAAGCATGTTATTTGCATTGACTCTTTGCAACAAACATGTCATTGCATTTTCAGGAAGAATCATCAGATTAAGTGTACACAAGTTGCCATATGACTCAAGCTACCTAGCAGAAGTTGCCAAAACACACCTGTATGTAGTTCAGCCTTCATCTTTGTTGTATCTTTTCAGCTCAGGGGTCATATTGAGCTGGTTGGCAGAGGGTTCAACCTAGTTTACTTTTCTTGAGATGATGCCAATTTGTTTTCCAGAATCTAAGCCTATTCATAAAAAAAAGTCTCTCTCTCTTATGGTCACAAAGATGACCTTAAAAATGTGAACCAAATATAAATCAATCCAGTAATATCTGCCTGAGTTTACAGATAGCCTGAAACAATAACTCCAAAAGAGGTGTGAGCTGCTCTGCCATCCCAATGGAGTTATTAACTTTGCAGATAATGAAAACATTTTAAATGTAAATGCAAGAAAAGAGAAGAATCATCATATTATGAAGATCTTCTTTGACTGGAGTCTCATTTAGGAATCTGAAGTGAGTGGAGCCTGGGAGAGTACCAATACTTTCTTCCACCCCACCCCAACTTCGACTATTGATTGGAATACTTGAAGAACCAAACCTCTGTTTCTGAAATCATTTAGCCTCCAGTGCAGGTCTAGTGCTCACTAGAGAAAGTGATCCTTAGCTTTTTTTTTTTTAATTATTTTTAATCACCTCCTTTCCCCCCCCCCCTCCCCCAAAAACAAAAAACCTTACCTTGTCCAGCAGTGCATTCTGCCATAAGCGGAAGATACTGAGGTAGCTTCTATCTCTAGCACTGAAGGATGTGAAGAAAAACTGTATGGAAGATAAGATGATAGCTTGCTTTATTTAATTCCCTCAAAATCATGGCCCCAGGGAAATGGATTAATACCTACAACTAGGCAGTCAATGTGATATGCAGCTATTGAGGACACTTACTGAAGCTTGTACAAAGGGCTAGATTCCCACTGTCTATATATTATATAAAACATTTTTGTTGCTTTTTGTGGCATCTACTTGCAAGCACTTACTCCAGCATAAAAAATGTCCTCTATATCATTTATCTGCTCCCTTAACCTCTTTCTCCCACTCTCACCTTCACGTATCCCTCTATGCCTGCAACAGTCTCCACTTATCAGTACCCTCACCCTCCTCCTTCACACCCACTGTTTGCATGATTTTTTCTTGCTAATCTTCTCACCAAGGCCTGGCACATCCATCCTTTACCTCAGGGGTTCTCAAACTGGGGCTTGTGACCCCTCAGAGGGGTCATGAAGTTATTACATGGTGGTTGCAAGCTGTCAGCTTCTACCCCCAAGCCTCGCTTCGCCTCCAGCATGTATAATAGTGTTTAATATAAACAACTGTGTTTTTGATTTATAAGGCGGTGTTGCACTCAGAGGCTTGCTGTGTGAAATGGGTCACCAATACAAAAGTTTGAGAATCTCTGGTTTACCTAATCTGCTCTCTTGTGTTTTGCCTTGTCATTCACTGTTACTCATTCCATTTTTTAAAGTTTGTAACCTGTTCAGCACAGGGATAGAATCATGTCCTTCGCAGCAGGTAAAAACTAGTAAGACTCATGGGACCCACTATGGAACTGCAAGGGTCTCCCTTCAGTGTCAGCTATATTGAATAAGCAGCCGACTGGACCCTTCCACAAAAACATCAACAGACTCATACTAGGCACCTGTCACCCTGTTTTCGGCCTAACAGTTTTGTTTTTCTGTGAGGGAAGGTTACTGAAAAGCTGGTGATGGGCCAACTCCCATCCCAATCCAGATTGGGCAAGCTAACCTATTGCAACTTGCTCTTTGGAATCCCTTTGAAATTCACCCAGAAGCTACAGCTAGTGGAGAATACAGCACCCAGGAGGCAGGGAGAAGCTCCTAATTATACCAAAACCCATTACAAAACAGCCCTATTAGCAGTTAGCAACTGTCTTCCAAGAATGTGTTTTATTTATAGAGGTTGCAAAACATCAAATTCCAATGCAAACCCACTCTGAAAAGGAAATCCCTAAAAATGGCATCATGGGGCCCTGTGTTTATTGTGTTCACTGATTCCACAGCAACTGTGCTCCAATAACAAGTAAAAAGATATTACTAGTTTTTAGCTCTGACTCACTGGGTTCTTTCTGGCCTAGGCATCATTACTAGTAATAAAGATTTTGCAACTGAAACTTAGCTGACAATTCTGTTGATGTTACAGAATAGACTTTGACATCCTCTCCCACAGCTGTGCTGACACTGCAGTGCTAACCCAAGTAAAGAGTAGCAAACACTTGTTGTAGTCACCAAAGTTATCAGATCTGATTGTGACACACACAGGGAGCAGGTGTGTGGAGTAAGATTTTTTTTTTTTTTTTTTTTTTTAAAGAAACAGTCACTTCTCTGATCATAACTGCAGTTTAAATATACAATTGGGACAGTTGCCTTAGCCAACAGGAATCAACAAATGCTCCACCCCAGGAATTATTATGAAAAAAGGAAATACTAGCTTTTCACCTTCTCCCCTTCTGTTACAATTTGGATGGCATTTGGGATGAGCCGCGCAGTCTTCTCCTTTGTCATGAAGGTTATATCCTTCAAGGCAATAGAAATCTGAACAGAAATAGATACAAAAACACACATAGAAAAGTTATAAATCCCAGAAATCCACAGGGCACAAGACACGCAAGAGGAACTCAACATCAAACTAACCCACGCTACTTGAATAAAGCATAGTAGATGTAGGGTGCAGGACACTAGGACCAGCCTTAAGCACAAGCATACCAAAGCCTTGTAATTCACAGCCCTGCCCAGCCCAGCTGAGCGCACCAGGACCAAATAGTGAACTGACAACTCACTGCACCTTTACCCTCCCACAGCAAGACTAGAAGATTCATGACACAAACCCTATCCTGACAGCAAGCTGAGCCCCACAAATCTGAATGCCAATCCTGGCTGCTACACTGGAGAAGACATTTGTACTCGCTTTTTCTGCTGTAATGTTTCATTTCTGCTAGCAGCCTGACAGATGTGCATGCAGGTACATTTGCCAAGTGGTGTGCAGCCCAGGGCACGGGTCACTTGCAGGTTTAAACTAGTGTAAATGGTGGAGTCTCTGTATCTTGAGGTCTTTCAACCATGATTTGAGGACTTCAGTAATTCAGCAGAGGTTAGGGGTCTATTACAGGAGTGGGTGAAGTTCCATGGCCTGCAATGTGCAGGAAGTCAGACTAGATGATCACGATGATCCCTTCTGGCCTTAAAGTCTATGAGTCTATAAACACTGCTGTGGGGTCTTCCCAGTTGACGTGTGGGGTGCAGGCATGTGCTCTGCACATTAGTACAGGTGACACTTAAACTGCAACCATCTAGAATGTTAATAAGCAGCTCCCCAAGGTGATCCAAAAAAGAGCTTCCGTCTGGTCAGTCAGTAAGAGTTATAGCATGCTTGTTTCAGCTGGAAGCCATCTTTGCATAGCTTATACACACAAGGCCGAAGATCCAAATAGAAAAATCTCATCATGGTCTTTTGGCATTTCCTTTTAAACACTTCACCTCACATCCATCTCCGGTGTAACTCCAGCATTGAGCTCAATGGAGTAACCCTGCAGATGAATTTGACTTCTTGGTATAGACAATCTAGATCATTATGTTGAATAAAACATTTCAACAGTTTTTCTATATTTTATGTATAAATAGGCTATTTATCACTTCTCCTGCATTCTTCAAAAAGCACTGGTACTGTCTAATCCAAAAGATTAGAAACTTTTTCACAGTGTGGACTACATTTTAATCCAGAAATTGTTAACGCCTCCATCCCCTTCCGTTGGCAATTGGGCAGACCACCCTTCCCTTCCCTATTCTCAACTGCATAACATCCCTGTGGCAACTACAGCAATTGCTCTCATGAAAAAGTAATATAATTGTAGCTGCTTTTTAATGCACTTTAGGAGCTGAAAATAAGAAGGAGCCAGCACCATGTGGACATCCAGCTTTCTTCAGACCACTGGAAAGACACTGACCATAATTTCAGAACCTTTAGCTAAGATATTTTACAGAAAACATTTCTCCTACAGGGAATCTGTATTCTGCAGCAGTTCTGATGTAGGTCCAAGCTAGTCTTATTGCTAAAACTGTTAATTTGCATCAGTGGAATCCACATGGACAGTTAATCCGTGGTGGGCTAGTGCAGGGTACATTCACATCCCCGCTTACCGTGAATTAACTGTTTGCGTAGGCTGTGACGTTGTGCAGTCTATATGGTTTTATAAAAACTTGATAATAAGTCAATATAATGTAACTGGGATAGTTTTAGAGAAAATACGGTAATAAGTGAATGTAACGTAACTGGGATATGCTTCATGCAAAAGGTCTCTTGTAAGGTATCATTACAAAGCTTATAATCTACTGAGTATGATCATCTGATTTGTATAAATGTACCACTCTTGTATCTAAAACTGGAAATATAAAATGTAACTCTGAGGGCCTATTGTAATTATGTAAAGTGTGGGCCATTAATGATGGTTTGGAATCTTGATGACTCCCATTGTCTGCAGATGGCTGTTTACCTGTGAGTCTTCCTGTATATGTGTGTGCTGGCAAGTGAGTAATGAAGTCTTGCAGTGACATGTGATCATGTCACCTGAACTGGAATCCATCTTTAACCTGGTGCTTTTCCAGTGAGGGGGGGTGGAAACCCAGAGGGACAAAGGGTTCCCGCCTTATGCAAAAGATATATAAAGGGGTGGAACAGAAGAGAGAGGGGGAGGAGCCGTCATGGAGAATCCCCTAGCTAACACCTAAGCTGGAACAAGAGCTGTACCAGGGGAAAGAATTGTGCCCAGGCCTGGAAGGTGTCCAGTCTGAGAAAAACTTACTGAAACATCTCTGAGGGTGAGATTATCTGTATTTAGTTTGATTAGACATAGATTTGCGCATTTTATTTTATTTTGCTTGTGACTTACTTTGTTCTGTCTGTTACTACTTAGAACTACTTAAATCCTACTGTCTGTATTTAATAAAATCACTTTTTATTTAGTAACTTACTCAGAGTATGTATTAATACCTGGGGGAGCAAACAACTGTGCATATCTCTCCATCAGTGTTATAGAGGGCGAACAATTTATGAGTTTACTCTGCATAAGCTTTATACAGGGTAAAACGGATTTATCTGGGTTTAGACCCCATTGGGAGTTGGGCATCTGAGTGCTAAAGACAAGCATACTCCTGTGAGCTATTTTTAGGTAAACTTGCAGCTTTGGGACAAGTGATTCAGACCCTGGGTCTGTGTCTGCAGCCAGACTGGAGTGTCTCGCTCAGCAAGACAGGGTGCTGGAGTCCTGAGCTGGCAGGGAAAACAGAAGCAGGGGTAGTCTTTGCACATCAGGTGGCAGCTCCCAAGGGGGTTTCTGTGATCCAACCCGTCACATAGGCAAGCCCACATCAGCAGCTAAACCAAATTGCAAGTATGCAACACAGGGAATGCCAAAACAAACCAGATGAGAACAGATATAAGGGCATGGAGATCCATCTGAGTACACATAATATAATACACCCATTCTTTCATAAAAGGCAAAGTGTCTTCATGAAGAATCTTTTTTTTTTTGGCAGAGGATTAAAAAAGTCAAAGAGTGAAAGGGCACCTCAAGTATATGTAGGGGGAAAACCTACAAAAAATTATATCAGATCAAGTTATCCAATATAGGAAGAGAGACAATTTTGAACAGACTGATCTTAGTGTTCCATTGACTTCCAGGCTGCTCTTTGATTTTACTGTACTATAGAGATTTGTAACTCCAGTCACAGCGGCCGGCTTCCTTTTGCAGGACCAGCACCAATGGGATGCCCTCCATGATTACCATCACCAAGAAGGATCCCTCAACCAGAAAGCTTCAGATATGATCCCCCAAAACAAAAAGGGATAGGGGATTTCTTTTAAGCAAACCAATAACCAAATACACAAAATAACTTACTGTGGTCTCCCATCGGAAGATGTTGCTGTGGAAACAGAGCCAGTTTTCAGAGAGGTACAGGCGTCCCTGCAGCAGAATATCCTTCTGGAGGGCACAGGCATAATCTATACACAAAGACCAAGATGAGCTTACTCACTCATTACAGTCCAATAGGACCAACCTTATTTTTTTCTGTAAACCCAACTCTCTTTGATTTAGAACTCAAAATTAGGGGAATAACTTTCATTACTCAAAGGAAAACTCCATAAAAATTAAACTCATATTGGGCCAAATCTAGTTTACTTTATTTATGATAAGGAATCCTGTTGATGTCCTACATCACCAAAGTCAATGGAATTATTTGTGTGATCAGGGAAAGCAGAACTCTGGCCATTGTGTATTACCCTCTGGTTTCAGGTATCTGGCAAGGCATGGCAGTCAATGAACTTCTGTTTTGCAAAGAAAATCAAGCAGAATATAGAAATTGCACTCTACAAGTCAAGCTACAGGCCACTTGAATGAAGTGGCAGAATACAAAGGCAATATTTTGTCTACTAATTCAGAATATATAGTCAACCAGTCACACATGCCACAATATAATGTATTGTACATTTCTAAGGTGAATCATTTTACACTCCTTATCATATCACAACTCACAACGAGCTAAAAAATCCATACTTAGTAGATATCTACATTCTGGCCAGGACACTTCAGTCAGAGGTCTTTTTCAGTCAAGGTTTCTTTTTACTTTTATTACCTATATGAAATGGCCTCTGGCTGAAATATCGCTGCTGGGAACTGACTGTTTCTTGAACAGTCCATTAATGCAGTGGTTCTCAAACTTTTGTACTGGTGACCCCTTTCACATAGGAAGCCTCTGAGTGTGACACACACACACCCTTATACATTCAAAACACTTTTAAATATATTTAACACTATTATAAATGCTGGATGCAAAGCGGGGTTTGGGGTGGAGGCGGACAGCTCACGACCACCCATGTAATAACCTCACAACCCCCTGAGGGGTCCTGACCCCCAGTTTGAGAACCCCTGCATTAATGGATCTCTATTAACAACAGCAAGGAGCTAATTCATCTCTTTACTGGTGTCACTGTGATTTAAAGAGCAGAAAGATTCACCATTGAAGCAGTAAGTGTACGATTTTCGTAAATGCCTAGTACTGGCTTCATTCTTCCCACTGAAGTAAAGGGTAAGATTCCTATTAGCTACACTGAAAGCAACATTAGGACAACATTAAGCCCTTTTGAAAATCCCACCCTAAGAATATAAATTCTATATAAATACTAGGTTGATTTGTTTTACACATTTGAGGTATTAAATTACATGCATGAGGCTGAAACAACCATGACTATTATGGGGACATTGTCAGATGAAACTTGGGCCAAAATTTAGCTTTAATACACATCAACTTTTACAAACTGAGGACCAATAAAAATTTCCTTGAATTTCCCCCCCACATTCAAATGGAAACAGTGTTTTCAACAAATTAAAATTACCCGGCAATATTTGCAACCCCAATATATGAGAAACTGAAAGCGGAACTGACAAGAAACAAGTTAGAACAGGCTGAAAGAAATTCAAGTTAACAGGCAGCATAGCAAAAATTAAAAGAGACACTGTCCAAATCAGTCTTCTGATAGAGAAACCTTTAAATACTGTGTCCTGACTTTTAAAAGAATTCCATCTTAACCCTTTTATTAATTTTTTTTATGCCCTTCTGTGTTTATAAGGGTCTTTTGGGCAGGTATAAGAACGTCACCACCAAAACACATTGGGGCCATTTCTCCACCCTATCTCCCTTCTCTCTACCTGCCAACCAGCTGCCTCTTTGGTGTCAGCTTTGCTGCTACTAGTAAACACGCTTCCTTGCAGAGCTCAGGGAAGAATATGCACATGGGGATCCCCCCAGAGTAGAGCATGAGCATGATGCAAGTGATCAGCAACAAAACAGTGGAACTGATAATACACAATGGGATGTCAAAATGCACAAAATAGGCAAACCGAAAATTGAGACTAAATGTTAATCCTAGTGCTAGTAACCTATGAGCCGAATTGTAAAAACAGATATAAAATGTTAAAGATGAAAACAAACTTTTTAATGAACTGGTGCTCTTCCAATCAGATTTTTTAAACGTTTACACTATGAAAATCTAAGGCACTTAGTTTATAGGATAGGTATGGAATCACTGTCATTTTTGTATAATCTTTATCTCTAATTCTCATAATTATAAGAATGTACAAGAGTAACTACAAAAAAGAAAAACATATTATAAAGAACAGCAGTAGTTACATTTCTGTTGATAACAATGAGTAGGTGATAACTACGTTAAATATTTGTAGATGAATAACAACTACTACAGCTTGGGTTAAAATCCACTATACCAAGCAAATGAATGGTTTTAAGACTGGAGGTCAGAAAAGGTCCTTTTAAATGAATGCTGCTCCCATGGGGTAAAAGAGTAATTACATAAAATAATGACTTTGTTTGCTTCTGACTGAGGAGGTGCTATATTGCTGGGATTAGTCCATCAGCAAGTGTATTCTTCAAATCCCAGGTAGTCTGTTCATGGCAAATATGCTTAATAGAATTTGCTTCCAGGTGGGTGAAGGTTCTAATTTCTCTTCTATAAAAGCACGTTGCTGTTTCTGGGTAGACGGTGCTGTAGCCACAACACCAAGCATCTAGCAAGACTGTCTTCCTGGATTAAAGGCTGCCTTTTTGTTGCAAGAGATAAACCCTGAAAAACCATGATGTTATTTTGGTATCAGAATACTTATCTCTGATACAGTGTATTTGTTAAGTGGGTCTCCAGTGGTACAGTCAGGCTTGCTTGCTGAGTGACCTATTAAGAAGTGGTGAGGTGTGTCATCAGCATCAGGTACAGAGGCAAGAAGATAGTGGGTCTGCTGGGTTTTAAGCTCTCCATTTGATAACAACTGGCAGAACAGAAAGGCAGGGCTCAAAACAGGTGTTTCAGTGCCTTCAGGTAAATACAACAGCTTGATGTTCTTTTCTCACTAACCCCTTGTTTTTCTTCTAGTCGAAACATTCTTTTTCTCCAGATCTGTAATCCTGTCCTTGCAGTCCCACTGATGTCCTCTTGATAGTATACATGGTTCCAGTTCACCCTGGTGATCAGCAAGCTTTATCCTTTTTAGCAGTAGTCATCCAGTTAAGATTGTAGAGTAGTTTACATATTTTCCAATTCATTTCCATAACTATGGTGAGATCTGGAGTGATTTTCACTACGCATTTCTTGTAAGTATCTGAGGCAAATGGGCTGGTGGTAGCGGATATCATTGTATTTTCTCTCTGAGCCCAACAAACCCAAAGTTCTTTTTAGATTGAAGAAAAGACTCCATGGAATGGTCCTAAATTCTGCAGACCACTTATTAGTGAGGTCCTTGCTCTCTCATAAAGGTTCTGAGCTGATTATTAAGGAGCAGGGACAGAGCTCATGGTAAGCGTGACTTACCTAGCTATTCGAGACACCTTAGAAATTCTTACCACCTCTCTAATATCCAAAAATATTCTGACATGTTTACAAAAAAAATTCCAAACTTATTTGCCTGGGTCATGGTGAATTTAAAATGTGCATCTTTTCCCTTTTCTGCTTAGCACTAGGCTAGCATCACAGGACCCCAAGAAATAGGTAATATTTTTACCTGAGAATGCCCCTTGGGAGGTACATTAATCCCTCAGAAAGACACTGCTTGTTGTGCTTCATTTCTTGAATAGTCTTTGGTAAACCTGATGATATGGTTCTCTCTCTTTCCCATTCACTACCTTGCCTCAAAGCAAGGAGTTTAGCAACACAATTCATAGGCCATGACTTTGGGGAGAGGGAGTTTTCCCTTTACTCCCCCACCACCACCACAAAAACGCCATCATTGAGACATAGGAGCCGCCCCTGGCAAATGAATTTTTCACAAACCATTCGCCTGATAAGACACCTGACATAGGTGCCATGGCATATCACCTTCCAGAAGAAATGCCTTCATATTAGACTTCTGCCTTATACAGTCCTTTGAAATAGCATACCAGGAAGAAGTGACAGTTCTGTGCTGCAAGTCCGTTTCTCTCCTCCCTCCGCCATGGGCTGTTTATTGCTTCAGAAAGAAGAGCATCCCAATTCTTCTCCCTGCAATCCTGACCTTCTTAAAAAACAGACTTCTATGCAAGGAGAAAGCTTTCAGGAGTCCCTCTGGACATGTGTTTGTCTGTCTGTCAAGGTAACATCTACTATCCTCTGTGCCATTGCTGCTTTCTCATGGGTGGCAAAATCTCTACTGGCAGTGCCAGAAACAGGACTCATGCAATGACAACTGTGAGCAATGCTTTCTGGGACTTTATCTCCTGCAGAAGCCAGACAGATGGACTGATAGGCATCACTAACACAGTGCTCAACTCCCTGCCAGCCTGAGAAATGGTTGCACTTGGACACATTTTTAAAGATGCTTCACTTAAACCCAGTGTCACCTTAATGAGAAACATGATTTATTTAATTTTTTTAGGCTTCATTTGTTGAGACTCATTTCAAGAGAGCTTTGAGTTTAGATTCCGTATTAACCCCCTCTCCTCTGTTAGACCTAGTTAGCCTTTGTTAATTACCATTTTAAAAAATTGCCCCCCTTCACCTCCCTCTCATTCAACATCTGTTAAGTGTCTGAAGCAGCAAAATGTGAAGATGCACCAAATGTATTGCCCATGCCAGAAAAGAGTCCAGTGGCACAAATAAAAATGTCTAGGATATAATTCTAACTCTGCTCTTTCCTCACATTCTCCAAGCCAGTCATAATCCAAACATTTCTGAGCCTATCTATTCAATATGCTGTCCCAGCACATCCTTCTCAGGATGGCCTGGCCTCTCCTTTCCCCTCATGATTGCCTGTGACAGGTGCTACCTTACATACGTTCCATGGCCAATAGGTGTTTTGCCATCTATGGGAAGGATAGGAGAAGTTACCTTAAGAGACACCCCATGACCACCATCCAGAGGGGCTGGAGGCATTCCTCCAGCATAGGAGTCTACTTTTAAGGTCAGGGTTACAGGGAGAAGAGCTGGGAAGCTCTTCTTTGAAAAGCAGTTTGCTGCTAGTCCACATAGGAGGGAGGAGTGAAACAGATTCCCGTGCTATCGCTAAAGTTGTTTGTCTTACAAACACCTGCTGCTGCAACTTTGGCATTATCAACAATAATAGAGTTTGGTTGGTTTGTTCACATCTTACCTACTATGAGCCTCTCCAAATCTGGCAGATGTGAAAACTGTCTCTTAAACTCCTCACTCCTATATTTATAAGTGGAACTTGAGATCTGCAACAATGAAAGGTGAAAGGTTAAAGTAAACAGCTTTATTTTCAGCTACCAACTATCTTCATACTAGCAGGAAACTAGCGATATAGTGCAAAGAAAATAAACACCAGAAGACTGGAAAAGAATAGACAGTATCTAAATGTATTTACCACTGTCATTATGCTCTGTTAGACAATGCTATGCTGCTATAAACTAGAACCCCAAATTGAAATATCAGATCTGTTATATACAGCATTGTCTCAGAAATGCAGCTGCACAATGGGATTTTTGCCACTTTCAGTAATTAAACTGGTAGACTGGTGACACTAAAGACCAAAGTCCATAGAACAGGTACAAGGCAGGTACCAGCACCACCAGATTCCTGATCCTGCTCTACCTATATGATTCACCCCTTAATAAAGGGACCTCTTTTAGGGGTAACAGGGTAGTTTGGTCTCCAGGGCCCCTTTAAGACTATGGGCTTGTCGGCGGATAGTGAGATCGATCTATCGGGGATTGATGTATCGCATCTCGACGCGATACATCGATCCCCGAATGCGCTCTCCGTCGACTCCGGAACTCCACCAGAACTAGAGGCGGAAGCGGAGTCGACGGGGGAGCGGCGGCCATCGATCCCGCGCCGCGAGGACGCGAAGTCAGTCAATCTAAGTCGATCTAAGATACGTCGACTTCAGCTACGCTAGTCTCGTAGCTGAAGTTGCGTATCTTAGATCAACCCCTCCCCCCCAGTGTAGACCAGGCCTTACAGCACTGCAGTGTGTACCACTGTAGTGCTTAATGAAAACACTACCTACAGTGAAGGGAGAGCTGCTCCCATTGGAAGAGTTAATCCACCTCCCCAAAAGACATTAGCTACGCTGATGGGAGAAGCCCTCCTGTCCACATATCGCTGCCTACACCAGCGGTTAGGTTGGCATAACTATGTCGCTCAGGCATGTGGATTTTCCCTGAGCGACGTAGTTATACCAACATAAGTCTGTAGCGAAGACCAAGCCTTAGCCTCTCTGCTGAGGCTGCCAACAAAGGGGCCAATTGGTACTAACATAGTGGTGGTTTTTGCAATGTGGATCTAAACTTCAATAATATATAAAGAATTTTGGAATGCCTTCAGTATAAAATGGTATTGTTAAAACAAATTCTAATCTATTCCCTGTTAATAGTAAGGTGATTTACAATAAACTAAACTGCTGCTGTACAAATCATTGTGTTTTAGCAACATTGCAACTGAAAGAGGAAGAACTCATCTCCCGGTGTCCCAACAATGAGATATAAACATACCATAAAAGCCTCGTTAAATCTAGTGTGTGAGAAACTTTTATTAAGAGATGTAAGCAACAATTGGCCATTGCTCTTTCTGAATAATAAAGGTGTCAACAGATGTTTGACATGTCCCATACACACACATTTCTGTACCATCGTATCAAGCAGTTCAGTGTAAAATACAATGAATCACTTTTGGCCATTTGACCAGACTCCTTTATAAACCCTTACTCCATTTTCCATGCACTATTACGATGTGCACTGTATCAGTTAACAGCCAGTTGTAGCTGTGAATTTTAAGTTTTCAAAGTAATTCCACCCCAGAGTAAATTAGTCTTTAGCTAGGAGTTATTTGTAGTAAAGGAATGATAGTGATGGCCCAAGCACATTAGCTCTAGGCATAGAATCATAGAAATGTAGGGCTGGATGGGTCCTCAAGAGGTCCTCAAGTCCAGCCCCCTTTGCTGAGGCAGGGCCAAGTAAACCGGGACCATCCCTGACAGGTGTTTGTCCAACCTGTTCTTTAAAATCTCCAGTGACGGGGATTCCACAACCTCCCTTGAAAGCCTATTTCAGAGCTTAACTACTCTTATAATCACAATATTTTTCCTAATATCTAACCTAAATATCCCTTGCTGCAAATTAAGCCCGGTACTTCTTGTCCTACTTTCAAAGGACATGGAGAACAATCAATCACTATCCTCTTTATAGAAGTCCTTCACATTATTTGAACACAGTTATCAGGTCCAGTCTTCTTTTCTCAAGACTAAACATGCCCAGTTTTTTTTAACCATTCCTTATAGGTCAGGTTTTCTAAACCTTTTGTCATTTTTGTTGCTCTCTGGACTATCTCCACCTTGTTGACTAATATTCAATTTGTGATTCACTATATCCCCTAGGATCCTTTTCAGCAGTACTACTGCCTAGCCAGTTATTCCCCATTTTGTAGTTGTGCCATTTGATTTTTCCTTCCTAAGTGAAGGAATCCTCATGTAACCTCAGTTCTATGATTTTAACATTCCCATCTGGGACTTCTGCTCCATACTGCCAGAACTGATGACCCTGTATAAATCAAACACTGATTGTCTGCGTATGCTCAGGACTCAAGTTTTTTAGTCAGGATGACAAGGAAATAGGTACTATGAGGTGATGGGTTGAAATGAATAGTCCTCATAAGTTAGCAAGTGCTCTTTTTTCATTTAGCTAACTGTATTTTTTTTAAAAAAAAGTCAGCAATGTTACAAATACCACTTAAGATGACTCCAAATAAAAGGGATTAAAAATATTTTTCTTTATTTTTTCAGTTTGTTTACTGAAACAGACTTTGGGGACAGCCAGCACCCCTGGTTGATGAGCGGCTTTCATACAGCAACAGGGGAGAAAAAAACATTTTTAAAAATGAAAAAGATGTGATTTGTAAAGAAGAATTGGCAGGGGAATTCAAAGGCTGGATAGCATTTGGAAAGGAATTTGCAGGAAACTACATTTAATCAGGGCCAGCGTGTTCTACAAGTCAATGCAGGGCCGGCGCAACCCATTAGGCGACCTAGGCGGTCGCCTAGGGCACTAACATTTGGGGGGTGGCGGCCGGATCTTCGGCCGCCCCGGTCATCGTCGGCATTTCAGGGGCGGGACCTTCCGCCGCCTAGGTCCCTGAGTCAACCCTGCTGAGATTCCTGTGGTTTCAGGGAGTCTAGGGATTTTGAACTTGATGCTTAATGACTGCAATTTGCGCTTGTGATGATGGAGCACTAGTACACACACACACAAACAAATGTAGTTACAGTCCAGTACAGTAAATGTGATGCAGATAATCAAACTACAAGTGTTCTCACGCTGGCTTCAGCACCAATTTAAGGAACCACCCCTCCCAGGGGAAGGAGATGTAATGTCTCCAAACAATGTGTGTGAGAGAAAAGAGCTATGCAAAATCTAGATATTAGGAAAAGGGGATCAGGCAGTGGAGAAATTGTGAATGTGTCTGTAGAAGGCTAATGCTTGACACAACTCAGGCAACAGCCAGGGCCGGCTCCAGGGTTTTGGCCGCCCCAAGCAGCCAAAACAAAACAAAAAAAAGCCGCGATCGCGATCTGCGGCGGCAATTCGGTGGGAGGTCCTTCGCTCCCAGGTGGAGTGAGGGACCGTCCGCCGAATTGCCGCTGAATACCTGGATGTGCCGCCCCTCTCTGGAGCGGCCGCCCCAAGCACCTGCTTGACAAGCTGGTGCCTGGAGCCGGCCCTGGCAACAGCACAGAGAATCAAAACTCTAGAGAGTCTCCAGAATCTAAACATTAAGTAACCTCAATCTCTAGGGCATTAAACCTGTTATCTCTGTGTTCCTTACCTGAGAGCCCTTTGTTGGCATATGAAATCATGTCTGTTTTTCCAATCATTTGAACAGAAGACAACAACAAGAAATCATCCTGCTTATTTGCACTCTAAGCTTTTCAGACCGCTAGGAAAAACCTGCTCTGAATTCTTATCTAATCAGTCCAGTTCCACTGGAAGGAATTTAGACATTGAACTTTCTTAACCTTCTCCTTTCCTTGCTTTGTATAACAACTGGTTCGCATTCCTAGGGCTAGAATTAAGTGTTGACTTTCCAGCCACCCCAATCTTTTAAATCAGCCAGCCATAATCAGCAGGGCAAGTTGTGCTGGAAGACAAATGGGACAAATTTCCAGACCACTGGCACAAAACGGCTGGGGCTCATTGGTGGTGTGATAATACAAATAAATGAATAATATAAAAAAACCAAAAAACTCCTAAGACATTTCAACTTCTCCAAGAACTACACCTCGTATTTTCAAGCTGCCGTATTGTACTTTTGTTCTACAAGCTTAAGTGTAGTGAAATATATAAAAGGCTTTCATTCTGGGCTACATGAGATGCCACAGAGGTTATGCAAAGGACAGGCAATGAATAGACAGAAGCTCTAGCATTTTATAGGGGAAGTAGATGTCTCAATTTTAGCACTGTAGAGCCTGGGCATTTCTCACAGTTTAATGTCGTCATCATACATGTGATATCATGCAACACCACACGAGGACAATACTATAATGAAACTAGATAGCGAGATGTGGAGACAACCTGTGAAAAACTATGCACTACCATATCACCAACTGTCTTATCAATTTTTGTAAGTATTAAAATAAATCATTGTAGGTCGGGTAGGGAATGAAGACTAACCTATGAAATTTTGTTGCCCATTATATAAATGCCCTTATGTATGCCATGCAATTTGTGAAAAAATATCAGCGGAGTTAAGCAAAGCCTAGCCCGCATTCCTGAACTAAAAGTATTACAGAAGAGACTGTTACTTCAGTACACAGTATCTTTAGGAAGCACCGAGCCAACCCATAGGCTTTCCAGATTGTCCTATTTAAAACTGCATCAGTCAGGAAATTCAGAGTCAAGGTTCCAAAAGCAACCTTAGCTCTGTCTCTTTGCAATAAAATAGAGGCTTACTAAAAGATACCTTCAGGTAATAATGTATTATTCAGCAGATAAGGAACTAGAGTTTTCTATGCTGTTCTTCCAATGAGGCTCCATAGGTAAACTGAACTGTTTAAACTGCATCTTGTCCTTCTATCCCTAAGATGTAATGTTTCCTAGAAAGTGAAAAAATCTGATCACATCTCAGGCAACCACTAGGAAAGGAAGTTACTTGAGAACATGTATAAGTCAATGGGACAACACACATGCTTAAGAACCTTGCTGAATCAGGACCTGAAGGAGAA